AGAAAACAGTAAAAATTCTGTAAAGCAATTATCCTTCAATAAAAAATAAATTAATTTTAAAAAAAAGAGGCTTTATTCTCCCCATTGAAACTTAGAGAAGGTGCTTTACTTTCTCATTTTTCTTTCTTTTTTTTTTTTTTTGCATTTCTGCCCACATTTTTTTTTCCATTTATTTTTATTAGTTGGAGGCTAATTACTTTACATCATTGCAGTGGTTTTTGTCATACATTGAAATGAATTAGCCATGGATTTACATGTATTCCCCATCCCGGTCCCCCCTCCCACCTCCCTCTCCACCCCATCCCTCTGGGTCTTCCTTAGAGGATTTACTTTAGAAAATTTAACTATTTTTTTTTCTTGTAAACTCTTTGAAATGTATTCAGATACCTTCAAAACTGCTAAGGACAAGCCTTAGAGCATTGTAACCCAGAAATGTCTTTGTCAAGAACCTGAGAAATATGTCTTTAAAAGGAAATCAAGGAACATACTGCCCCTACCTCTCTATTTCTGTCATAGGGTTGTAAACTAAACTTGTGGGCACCTTACTCCAAAACCATCTCCTGTCAAACAGATAGGATTTTATGTTTCCTTTGAGAAAGCCAATAAACTAACACAGACTGTCATCCAATTACTAGCTGAGTTGAGGATGAATTATGTATGGTGGGTGATGTGGCAAATCCTCTCACTTGAGGACTAGATATTGTTTATCTTGAAAACAAGTAGACAATGGGTATATACTTGACTATTTAAAGGGTGAGATGTCTTTCTGTCTTTGCAATCTCCTTAGCAGATTGCCTCTGATAGGCATCACCTTCTGGTTCAATGTTTACTCAATAATGAAACTGTTTCTTTCTTTTCTAGTTTTGTGGAAGTTATCAGGGATAATAGGAGATTTAGTTTTAACCGTATTTCCCCAACAACACATTTCAATCATATATTTCCTTTGATAACTATTTCTTCTTTATTTTACATATTTTATAATCAATGTGAAAGCATTTTGAGGTTTTCCTTGGGGGAAAGGAAAAGATCAGTCTAATATCCATGGTCAAACAGTATATATATGCTGAAGTGACTGCATGTAACTTTTTCAAGTATGTCACTCTGAAGGGTACAGGGAATATTATATTCATAATTGTTTTCACTATATTCTATGAGATTTCTAATTCTGTTCTACCTTATGGGCTTTTGAATTACACAGTATAAAAGATTACTATCAAAAACATAACATGATACTCAGGTAGAAAAAGACAAAATTCACCTTCATATAGAAAGAATTATGTTGTTTTGAAAAAATATTATTTTCAGGATTATGAGTTGCTTTCTCAAATAAACTTTTATTTTAAAATAGTTTGCCTTACAAAAAAATTATTATAATACAGTGAGTGCCCATATACTACACACCTAGTTTCCTCCATTACTATATTACTCTATGATACATGTGTCACAGTTAATGTACCATAAGTCCACACTTTATTCAGAATTCTTATATTTTATTTAATGTACTTTTTCTGATCTAGAATACCATATAAACTTTAATTACTACCTGATCTTTGGTATCTCTTGGCTATGGCAATGAATTAATTTGTGATGCTTTTTTGTTTTTAAAAGGAATAGAAATATAGAATTGCTTTAATTTTGTTCTTATAAAGAGAAAACAAAGTAAAATCCCATACTGTTGCATCATTCTGGACTGAAATCTTGTGTCCCCCAAGAAATTCATCTGTTGGAGCCCAATACCTAATGTGATGTGGGGACTGTTTAGAAGTGGGTGGGGCCTTTGTGAGGTAATTAAGTTTGGAGGATATCAGGGTGGGTAGAGCCCTCGTGATGGGATTGGTACCATTTTAAGGAGATTAAGAGCCCTGAGCTCTCTCCCTCCATGTGAGGAGGACACAGTGAAAACACCATCTATGAAACCAGAAGAGGACTCTCCTCAGACTCTGAATCTGCTGGCACCTGGACACCTCAGCCTCTAGAACTGTGAGAAATAAATGTTATTTAAGCCATCTAGCCTATGGTACCTTTGTTACAGCAGCCCTAACTGATGAAAATAATCCATTCTCTTTTTAATGTGGCATCCTAAATTGTCTTTACTCCATTGAACAAATTGCTAATTTTTAAAAATGGCATCTGCTGATACTATCAAAGAAATTTACAATACTGGATTTTAAAAACTTGTTCATTATAGATACTCAATATATATTAAATAACCACAAAAATACCAAAATTGAGATAAACTGTTTTATACTGGTATAAATATGATTCTAGTCAGGCAAGATAATTTTGTACTCTTTCATGTGGTAATAATTAAATTCATAAAATTATTATTTTAGATGTGCAAATTCCAAGCCAAGTTGACCTACAATGACTTGCATAATTATGAGCACTATTTCATTGCAACCTTCCAATTACTTCTGTCAATAGAAATGTGGTTACTGAGGTGTATTTTTTTCATTCTCTACCCAAATCTTTACATTATTATCCCCAATNGTGACAACAAATTAACCACGAGATCACAGTCATATAACAGAATGTAGGTTTATTTTTTCCTAGGGTAAATTCAGATGTGGGTTTGCAGCTTTATTCCTTGAGAATACTCTATCTGTAACACATGGCTTTGAAGGCCCCTTCTAGGAAATAAGGGTATTATACAACAGGGATCTCAGTCAGTAACTGCCACAGCACATGCAAGTGATAAGTATCAAGTCCACTCACAGACATGTTTCATATTTGAGGGCCTTTACTTAGGACACTAACGCCAATCAGAAAAGCAAGTTATCATTACCAAGTCTAAGCTCATACTGCTTCCCGCACAACAGACCAATAATGGAGAGATGAGCTACTAGGGCAAGGAAGAGTGATTTTGTTTGGAAAGCCAGCATATCAAGGAGATAGTGGACTAGAATCCCAAAGATCCAACTTCCCTGAGTTAGAATTCAGGCTTCTTTTACACTAAAAAGGGAGGGAGTAAAATTAAGACCAGACTCCAGAAAAGTGAAAGTGGCTCAGTCGTATCCAGCTCTTTGTGACCCCATGGGCTATTCAGTCCATGGGATTCTCCAGACCAGAATACTGGAGTGGGTAGCCTTTACCTTTACTCCAGGGGGTCTTCTCAACCCAGGGATCGAACCTAGGTCTCTCATATTGCAGGCAGATTCTCTACGAGCTGAGCTATCAGGGAAACCCAGACTCCAGATGAGATGTGTTAATATCTTTCTGTTTGTAGCCATTCACAGGTGAACCTGGTCAGGGTGTCTCTTATAAGCTAAACAAAGGTATTTGAGCTTAATGCTTACCACCTGGGAAGTAGGAGTCCCAGAGATGGGCAGTTACATATAATTTAAGCTTGCAAACAACATCCCTTTAGTGGTTAACTTGTAATAGAATACAAAGTTTCTTCCCTATTATTATCGGAGACCGTGATAGTGAAAGAGAAAGTCTAGTGGGGTCGTTTAGACCATTAGCTCAACAGTTAGACAGAGCAGGTTAAAATACTATCAACTCTGCCTATTCCTTTGTGGTCTCTTGAAACAGTTTACCTCAGTTTCTTCATATATAATAACATCCAATTAATATTACTGCTCTAAAAAAAACATTATTGAGATTGACCATAGCACTGTGCATGGAAGCAAAAACCATTTATTTAATGAGTATTAGATACACATTTATTGGGATTCTGCAGTGGCTCAGTGGTAAAGAATCCTCCTGCCAATGCAAATAAAATTCTAAAATATTTTAAAACTATTTACTAGAAGAATATTTCAGGTTAAAATCCACCTCAGTGCTTTTCTAAAGATTACATTATTATCCCCAATAGATAAAATGCTTGCTGAACAAAGGGTAATCTTTAGCTCGGTCTGGAATATCCCCTGGAGAAGGAACTGGCAACCTACTCCAGTATGCTTCCTGGGGAATCCCATGGACAGAGCGGCCTGGAGGGCAATAGTCCATGGGGTCGCAAGAGATGGATGCGACTTAAGAGACTAAACTAAACTACAGAAGTAATAAATGGGTGGTGGTGGTTTAGTCGCTAAGTCGCATCCAACTCTTGGCGAACAGGTTAACTCATAACAGTGGTCCAAAATCAAGTAAACATTTAAAATTTCTGTCTATGGATGGCAAAAACTTGTTTAGAAACTTAAAATTTTAAAAATAAATTTGAAGTTCATATAGTCACTCAGTTAGTCATTACTTAACCAAGAGTCTAACTCTTTTCAAGTGCTCTCACGGCCAAAGGGACCTTGTGGAATAAAATAAACAAGGCCTATTACAACACTACAGGAGGTGGAGGGGGAGAAATTAAATAGCCCAAAGGAATGGCCACAGTGAAAAGGGGACTTGATCTCACCTGAGGCACACTGCATCACAACTAGTCTTGAGCAGGACTGAAGTGCCGAAGTGTGAGTTTATGACGCTGGGAAAAGAGTCGCTTAAGTTGGACTTACCCTCCTTCAGTCCTGGCTGAGGGTCAACTCTGCCAGTCTCGGCGGCAGGTTACCTGGGCTTCCTTTGAAGAAAGGAGAGAGACTTGGGGGCGTTGCTGGTTTGCTTCTCAGTCGAAATCAGCCTGCCGCAGGACAGACACACCNCACTCTCGGCGGCAGGTTACCTGGGCTTCCTTTGAAGAAAGGAGAGAGACTTGGGGGCGTTGCTGGTTTGCTTCTCAGTCGAAATCAGCCTGCCGCAGGACAGACACACCCGCGGCGCCCACAGGTGGCGCATGCGCAGCTGCCCACGTGACCACGGGGAAGGCGCGCTGCCCCCGGGCCACACGGCTCTTCTAAGCTCAGCGGAGGGCTGCGGGGTGAGGGGAAGGCTACCTCCACCTGCTGGCCTAGGACAGATGTGCCCTGGCCGTCACACCTTTCACCAAAGTCTCTGGGGAGCCAGACGGGGTTTATGCGGAGCCGCCGGCTGCCTGTGCCTGTGAGCGACGGACAGCATTGTGAGCTCACCTGCTGCTCCCCAGAGCCAGGCGTGGTCCAGGCAGGGTCGGTGGCTGAGCCCTGCTTGCAGCGGTGGTCCTCTGGCACTGGTAGACCATTCTCAACACCACTTTCCGGGTGACCCTGGGGCAGCCTCTGAAGCCAGCCGTCCTTAGGTTCTCTTACTCAAAGTTGACTTTGGGTCCCTAGTTGTGCTTCCTCCATCCTGACTGTGAGAGCTTCCAGAGGTCACGGTCCATCAGTTGCGCCATCCCAGCGTCTTTATCCCAGGTCACGAAGTCCTACATCAGCGTGCCACGGGGAAGGGCAAGGCCTGGTCATAAAAGTCAGACTCCTAGGACACCAGGGCCCAGGCAGTGTAGGGGTAGTAGATGAAACATGTTTCCTGCTGGCTGAGGTGCCAGGGAAGAGTCACCTCCTTGCTGCCCCTGGACCAGACAGGTCCGGATGCCCTTGAACTGCATTCCCAAAGGAGCTCCAGTTCAAAGCCACCAGTGCAGCAACTGGGACAACACCGTGAGGAACATTTACAAGCAGAGGAAAGAGTAAGTACAAACACCCCGAGGGGAGAACGAGATTGGTGAGTGCAGGTACAGAATGGCAATCAACGCGGCCAGACCATGGGGAATCAAGAGAATAACAGAACAGAGAATCAGGCGAGGACCAGATTATGTAATATTTTAGAGACCATAGTAAGGAATTTGCATTATCTCTTGGTTGACTTGGGAAGCTGTTGGAAGGTTTAAAGCCAGTAAGGGATGTGTTCCCAGTGGCTCACTGCTGTGGATAATGTGCTCTCTCTGTGTGTATGGAGGGCAGGGAGCAAGTGTAGAATAAGCTTATCTATACGATGGGATCAAGATGTATTTAATGAGTGGATGTACATGAAACTCATAGATTGGTGCTTATAGTATGTAAGAGACACTCAGCTTCTCTGTCCATGGGGGTTCTCCAGGCAAGAACACTGGAGTGGGTAGCCATTCCCTTCTCCAGGGGATCTTCCCAACACAGGGATCAAACTCAGGTCCTCTGCACTACAGGCAGATTCTTTAACATCTGATCCCTCAGGGATGCCCAAACACTACAAAACTGTATGCTAAATAAAAATAATGCCTTATTATTTGTTTTCAGAATTACAAATACACAGTGCTTTTGACTTTCAAAAAAGAACCACATGATTTGAAACAGGCCATCAAAGGGATAGGTTATCCTTAAGGTGGGGGATGATGGGAGGTGGGCACAGTCTATCTGTGATTATTGAACTCATTCTTTCTTCAGGTCTAGTTCAGTTATTATCTGTACTAGCAAAATTTGTAAACCAATAACTTGAAAATAACTGTTACTGTGTGCAAATTTGCATTAAAATAACTGATTACAAATTCCATCAGGACAAGTATTCTCTATTTTAAGTCTCCCATGGTACCTAATAAGATGCCTTATATTTGGATAGACATCCTAAATGGTCTGGCATTAGAAGGGAAACATTGCAATTGAAACATTGTTAGAGTATTTGAGGAGTGTAAACACTAAGTGGATGTTTAGGAAAAAAAATTAAAAAATCATAGAGTCATATATGTAAAAGCCAGACATTTAACAATTAGTCTTACAGATACTATATCTGAAGATACTCTATTTTACATTGAAATATTAAAAATTTTGCATTTAATTTTAGCACTTTATAAGTCAATTAAACAATATATAAATCTATATATATATTTTTTCTGATAAATCTAGCTCTTGAAAATTATCTCTTCACAGAGCTCATGAGTGAATTTCATTAATTCAAATGGAAATTTTGCATATATTGTACATCAAGTGGAGATGAAGTTCTTTTTATGTTTAACTCTCTAATTCAGTACTGTACATTAATTGTTTTGATGTATGATACAAAGTATGGATTATGCTTAATGTACAAAGCTTTGAAAGATGAAAAGCATAACAGAAGCTTAACAGTTATGCTCCCTTAAACAAAAAGGTGAACACAGTGGAGAGAAAGAAAGAAATACGAGTATTTTACACATAGTTAAGGAGGATGTGTGTGAAGCTTTTTATAGTGAGAGAGTTAGGCCAATGATGAAAGGGGCAGCCTGGAGCATTCTTCCAGGGAAATTTTTTTCAGCTACTTAATACTCACTTAAAGCTTCCTGAGATACTCATTGTTCTCCATACATACAGTATTGAAAATGTTTTTATTTTTCGTTTCTCAACTCTTACAGGTTGATGATGGTTTAAGAGTAGCTTACAACTCAATTCTAACTGGTCTTCCTTTTGCCCCTGTGGCAGCTGGAGTGATCACAGAGAAACAAAAGTAAGGGTATGATATTCCTCTGCTCAGAATACTCAGATCCCTTCCATCAGATTCAAAGGTCTCGCATTGGCCCCAAAGCCCTAAATTATTCAGCTTCTATTTCCTATCTAACCAAACCACCTGCTTCCTTACCCCTATATCATTTCCACTGTTTCAAACACAGTAGGCATCTAACTGATTTAGGGTCACTACTCTTCCCACAGAGTGTGGTTCATTGATTACTTCCTTCCCATCTTTGAGTGAATCACCTCAATGAAGATTTTCTCTAACCATACTATTTAACTGTTTATAATTACAATTCCCCATCATCCTGTCATTCTTTACTTCTGCCCTGCTTTCTATTCCTCCATAAATTTATTGATAGATTACTGTTAGAGTACATATTTTATTGATTTGTCTGTGAGTGTATATGTGAACATGTATATGCTGGGTGTATGTCTACAATCTCCAATTTAATATTCATGAAAGCAAGATGATTCCTTTTTCTCTGAGTCATAAATTCCCTATAATATTTCCTGGCATATTTTAAGTGTGCAATATATATATATGTTGAATGAATACTTGGTGAATAAATAAAGGGATCATCCTAGAAAGAAATCAATTTGAATCATTAGGTAGTAAAATTTTACTTTAAACAGATCTCATCCTTATAATTTATATTTTGAGAATTTTTTATATTTTTATAATTTCTATTTCTTTTCTGTTGTTTTAGTTAAAATACCTGTAATAGTCATATACAAGAAAAAAAATCTGAAAATGATGTGACTTGATGGGTTTGTAATGTCATGATTTTCTTTGAGTCTTTATAAAATATGACTATATAAAAATGAAAGAATAGGAGAAAATTTTTTCACTTATTTTTGTATGTGTTATTTGATGTTCAATTTGTTTTCTATAATTAAAAATTATTCTATTTTATGAATTGTACAAAGCATGTACATAACATAAGAAAAATAGACAATATATTCAGCTTGACTGATTGGCAGAGCAGTGTTCCTTTCAGAGTAGTTTTGAAGGTGGCAGATAATAGCTTATTACAAAAACTTACTACCTTCCATTGTGGGAAATTTAACTAATTAAAAGTATTTCGGCTAAACATAAATTTAATTATTTTAACAACTTCATGTGAGTCTATAATTATCTCAAGATAAAATGATTTTAAAATTAATTTTACCTAATTTCATTTTTACTTATCCATTTAGTAAATATTTTTTTTAGCAGCTATTGCATTTCCCACATATATCACAAGTGTCCAGAGTAAGTATGGTGTTTGAAACCTGGTGCTAGAATTTTGAAAAAACAAAAACAATGTCTGTGTTCCCATGAAGAGTTTATAAGAGTTCTAGAAGAAAATAAAGTGGAATAAAATGTAAGATATCAGTAGGTAGTACCATTTTTGATATGATGATGATGAAAATTGTCTCTAAGGTGAAAATATTTTAAAACAGAGGGAGTGTGCATCTCAAATATCTGAGGGAGAATATTTCAGGAAGAGAAGCTGTCAAGTGCAGGTATAGAAAGCTGCAGACAATGGTTTGGAGTCTGGGGCTGGAGACATAGCTTCTGTCAACAAATGTGTATGAATCGTTCCCACTCTTTCATTTCATCTGTGTCTTTGGGACTTTTGACAATAGAACAAGCTCATAATATACAAGAGTGCATAGAAGGTAGAAATTTACTGTTTCATGATATGGAGCTTGTTGTGTATAGTCCTATGCTGATATGAGGTAGAGAAGCTCTACAGACAGCAATGGAGAGATTCAGCCTTTCTACCTTATTACACATTCCTCACAGTTACATTCCCTCTATTGTAATGGGGAAACAGGTTTCTGTCTGCATAATAATTATAGATATATTTTTAACAACTGGTTCATGGTATAATTTATTTCAGAGCGGATTGAACAAACCTGGCTCCCTCAACCTCACTTTCTATCTGGTTACAGTCCTCTTTTTTCAGTTGCATAGTCCACTTTTTACCTCTGCATTGCTTCCATATTCTGTTACTTCATTCCTCTATTGCCTTGCATATGTCTGTTCTTACACACACCAGTATAAACACACTCTTATATGAATGCTGCTTTTCATATGAATTGCATTTCATACTGCATTTAAGCATGCAGTACTTGGTTTAAGCATGTCAAAAGCAATAATCACATATTTTCATCCTTTTATGATTGGTAAAATACAATACATTTGACACTTGAGAGTGTAGTAAATATTTGTTACATGAAGTAATGCTAAGTTAAACACACTAAACACATTGAGGCAGACAAGTAACTCCCAGAAACTGAGTTGTTCCTTTTGCACTAAAAGCTGAAACATGAATGACAATGATTGTGTGTGTATGTGCGCTCAGTTGTGCTCAGGTCTTTGACACCCCATGGACTGTGGCCTATCAGGCTCCCCTGTCTGTTGCATTTTCCAGGCAAGAATACTGGAATGGGTTGTCATTTCCTTCTCTAGGGCATCTTGGAGGGATTGAACCTGCATCTCTTGTGTCTCCTGCATTGGCAGATAGGTTCTTTGACAGCTGAGCCACTGGGGAAGCCTGGCAATGATAAAAATCATCTTTTCACTTTGTTCTGCCTATCTTTGTGCCAGCTAATTGATAGAAAGGCACATTATCCACTTTAGTCCTTATACCAATCTTAGGATGTGGATACTATTATCATTCCCATTTTACAGATAAGAAAACTTAGCCATAGAAAAAGTAAACAACTTACTCATCTTCATTCATTTAAAAACAAGAGAAGTTAGATCATATAACATCTGATTCCATAATTTATATTTATAAACCTATGCTACTAAATAGACTGGAAGATTTTGCTTACGATAACAAAATCCCTATTTCAACCTACCTAGAAACATTTATAAGGCAAAAATGGTTTCAAGTAGAGCTAGATTCCATGAAAAAAAATTATGTAGCCTCTGTATCGTGTTGCTAATGTCCACTTGCTCCATCTCAGGCAGATTCTTTTCTTTATATTGTATATTGAGCTCCTAGCAGCTTCATCCTATATTCTATATTCATGATCCCTTAGCAACATCAGCTATAAAAGGGACATGATCTTTTCTAATGATTTCCTTTTGTATCACAAACTAGACTTCATACATAGACAGATACATACATATATACACTTCAATCCTAAAGAAAATCAGTCCTGAATATTTTTTTTTGCCCATTTATTTTTTATTAGTTGGAGGCTAATTACTTTACAATATTGTAGTGGTTTTTGTCATACATTGGAAGGACTGATGCCAAAGATGAAACT